ACAGCCTTCATGTCATTTTCTCAGTTATTGCTTTAAAACGTTCACATTCTACTCTTAGAAAGATTCACCTGTACCCCTATAAGGTAAACCTCAGAAGTGATCCCTCCAAACCCCCTCCCTCCACCCATTCCCCCCTCCCTTCTCCCTCCCCCCTCCCCAAGCCATCTTTTTCTTATAAAATTTACAGTTGTTGACTTGGCGCTTGTGGCTCAAGCAGCTAAGGCACTGGCCACATAAACCTGAGCTGGCAGGTTCGAATCCAGCCCAGGCCCGGCAAACAACAATGATGGCTGCAACTAAAAAATAGCCAGGCATTGTGGTGGGCGCCTGTAGTCCCAGCTACTTGGGAGGCAGAGGCAGGAGAATCACTTGAGCCCAGAAGTTGGAGGTTGCTGTGAGCTGTGATGCCACAGCACTCTACCCAGGGGTGCCAGCTTTTGAGGCTCTGTCTCAAAAAAAAAAAAAAAAATTTTTTTTTACAATTTTTTATGTGATAAAGGTATTAATCCATTGTCGTAAATGTTGCAAATACTTTTTTCTTGTTTAGTCATTTTCTTTTTAAGTTTTGTTTTTGTCATATGTAAGACTTTTTTTTTACTGTAAGGTGGTTACAAGTTCTGTCGTTTCCTCTGCTTTCTCCTGTTCTTTATGCTTCTAAGTATAAAACCTTCTTCATTCTTAGAAAGGTATTCATCTATATGTTTTTGAGGTTTCATGTTTATTTTTCTCTTTATTTCAGACTACAATGGAATATATTTTAGCTATGGATCAAAGATAACTCAATTTTTTTCCAAGTAGCTCCTCTTTTTTCTGATAACCTTTTCTAAAATAATCCTCTTTTCCCCCACTTATTTAAAATGGCAGCCTTGGATGGCGCCTGTGGTTCAAGGAGTAGGCTGTCAGCCCCATATACCAAAGGTGGCAGGTTCAAATCTGGCCCTGGCCAAATACTGGAAAAAAAGTAAATAAAAATAAAATAAAATGGCAGCTTTGGTTTTTGTTTTTTTTTTGAGACAGTGTAGTGGCATCTTATCTCACTGTAGCCTCAAGCTCCTGGGATCAACTAATCCTCTTATCTCACTCTCCTGACTATCTGGGATTATAGGCTAGTTTTTCTATTTTTAGTAGAAACAAGGTCTTGCTCTTGCTCAGGCTGATCTCAACTCCTGAGCTCCAGCACTTTGTCCCTAGCCTCATAGAGTGCTAACATTACAAATGTGAGCCACTGCTCTCACCTGTCCTAAAGTGGCGCCTTTTTATATGGTAGTATTTGGTTCTCTCTTCTATTTAAATTGGGTGCCCATGATACTGATAGTACCACGATATTAACTATTTTGGCTTTAAAATATGTTAATATTTGGAAATATAAGAGTCACGTTGTTTTTTTTTTTTTAGAAATTTTATTGCCACCTTCAATATCTTGTTTATTTTTCAGACAAATTTTATAAATTACTTTACATAAAGTAGAAACATCTTTATGGTATTTGGTATTTCCAATCACGGATATAGATACTTCAGTGAGGTTTTTTACGCCTTCTAGAAGCATTTTATAGTCTTCAGATAGATTCTGCAAATTTTGAGTTTATGTTGTTTTTTCTTTTTTTTTTTTAATTTTGCTTTCATTTTCTTTTCTTTCTTTTTTTTTTTTTATAGAGACAGAATCTCACTTTGTGACCTTCAGTAGAGTACTGTGGAATCATAGCTCACAGCAACCTCCACCAACCCCTGGATCCTTGGGTTTAAGTGATTCTCTAGCCTCAGCCTCCCAAGTAGCTGGGATTACAGGTGCCTACCAGAATGCCCAACAATTTTTGGTAGAGACGAGGTCTCACTCTGGCTCATGCTGGTCTCAAACCTCTGAGCTCAGGGCAATCCACCCGCCTCAGCCTCCCAGGGTGCTAGGATTACAGGTGTGAGCCACCACACCCGGCCTTCTTTTTCTTTTGATATATTTATTGTGGATTTTTTTTGTATCATTTTTTTGTTTGTTTATTTTTGAGACAGAGTCTCACTTTGTTGCCCTTGGTAGAATGTTGTGGTATATAGCTCACAGCAACCTCAAACTGTTGGGCTTAAGTGATTCTCTTCCTTCAGCCTCCCAAGTAGCTGGGACTACAGGCACTGGCCACAACACCCGGCTATGTTTTGGAGACAAGATCTTGCTCTGGCTTAGACTGGTCTCTAACTCATGGGCTCAGGCTGGTCTCAAACTCAGATAGTCCACCCGCCTTGGCCTCCTGGAGTGCTAGGATTACAGGCGTGAGCCACCACCCCAGCCTGTTTCTAAATATTTTTGTATGTTCTATACTATTAATTTATTTATTGAATATATATGTAGAGAAGGTTTCAAGCTTTTGAGTCTCACTTATGTCGCCCTGCATAGAGTGCTGTGGCGTCAGAGTCACAGCAACCTCCAATTTCTGGGCTTAAGTGATTCTTTTGCCTCACCCACCACAATGCCTGACTATTTTTTCTTTGTAGTTGTCGTTGTTTGGCAGACCGGCCTGGATATGAACCCTCCAGCTCCGGTTTAGGTGGCTGGCACTCTAGCTGCTGAGCTACAGGCGCCAAGCTGATTTCAAACTGTATAACCCATCTTGTTCAACAAAGAATTTGTAGAAATAGGCCAATGTGGTGGCTCATGCCTGTAATCCCAGTGCTTGGTTGAGGCTAGGAATTTGAGACCAGCCTGGGCAACATAGTGAAACCCCTGTCTCTACAAAAATTAATGAAATAACTAGTGGGTGATCCCTGTGGCTCAGTGAATAGGGTGCTAGCCTCATATACCAAAGGTGGCGGGTTCAAACCTGGCCCTGGCCAAACTGCAGCAATAACAACAAAACAGCCAGAGGGTGGCGCCTGTAGCTCAAAGGAGTAGGCCACCGGAGGTGGTGGGTTCAAAACCAGCCACAGCCAAAAACTGGGGGAAAAAAATAGCTGGCGTTGTGGCAAGCACTTGTGGTCCCAGCTACTCAGGAGGCTGAGGCAAGAGAATTGCCTAAGCCCAAGAGTCGGAGGTTGCTGTGAGCTGTGATGCCACGGCACTTTACCAAGGGCAAGAAAGTGAGACTCTGTCTCTAAAAAAAAAAGTGAAATAACTAGCTGAGTATAGTAGCTAGTTTTTTTTTTTTTTTTAAAAGGTAACATGATTCTGTTACATAGGTCTCATAATAACAGAACAAATTTCTTCATTCAAGAAAAGATTTCCCAAGCATTTAACTCCAGATGAAATTTCTCCCACGTATCCTTTAGTGTAAGCCAAGGCATAATGCCAAGACAAAGCTCAGTAAAAGCAATTCTGCAGGGGATAAGACCATGTGGCCCAAGTATACCCAGCTTACTGATGGACTGGCATAATTCTGGAATAAAGCCTAGAATAGAATGCAAATTCCACCAGGAGGTCAAGTCAGGTAAGGACAGAAAGAAAAATCTCCTTTGGATTTGCCAGTTAAGGGCCATTGCTGGCTTCAAAGCTCCATAGAGTAATGGGGGGCAGAGCCCAGACTGATGGAAGCAAGGAAAAGAGGTAGAGACAAGTGAGGAGTTGAGCATGGAGAGAGTAAAGATACATTAAATCATAAAATGAAGTGGGGAGTTTACATTAAAAACTTGATTTGGGCTCGGGACCTGTGGCTCAAGTGGCTAAGGTGCCAGCCACATACACCTAAGGTGGTGGGTTCGAATCCAGCCCGGGCCCCCAAACAACAATGAAGGCTGCAACCAAAAAAAAAAAATAGCCAGGCATTGTGGCGGGCGCCTGTGGTCCCAGCTACTTGGGAGGCGGAGGCAGGAGACTCGCTTGAGCCCAGGAGTTGGAGGTTACTGTGAGCTGTGATGCCACGGGACTCTACCCAGGGGGACGGCTTGAGGCTCTGTCTGAAAAAAAAAAAAACAACTTGATTTGAACAACATAGACCTGGCAGAGATGATACTGAGACTAAGAGAAGGAAGTCAGCAGATCCAGCAGGCTCCCTAGGATGCAGGCCAGGCTGGTGGCATAGTGCTCAGGGTAGCCTTGAAGTCCCTGCTGGAGGCTGACCCCCTGCATCCTCCCACCTGACCAATCAGGGCAAGGAAGTGCTTGGGTGCCTTTTTTGTCCCTTTCTTCTTTTCTCACCCCTACTTGCTTAGGTCTCCCTGCCTCAGTCTAAAGAAACTTCCTCCTGCTCCATCCTCTCCCCAGAAGTTGGTTGAATGGTAATTGTTTTTTTCTAAGCTTCACTGTTTTGCCAAGATGATAGAGAAATACAGTAAACATCTGGTCTAAAGAGTTCTATTTCACAGTGATACTGCAGTCCAGATTGGGGACTAGAGTCCAGGTTTCTTTATTTCTTATCCAGTGCCATTAAGTTGGAGGTGACAACCAAAGATCCAGATGAAGAGAGTTGCTTTAAGCAGTGAAACTTTGGGATTGTCGATGTGGACTGGAAAGGCCCCTCTGAAGAGACAATTGAAATGAAAAGGCTAGAGGCAACGCCTGTGGCTCAGTGAGTAAGGCACTAGCCCCATATACTGAGGGTGGCGGATTCAAACCCAGCCCGGCCAGACTGCAACAAAAAATAGCTGGGTGTTGTGGTGGGTGCCTGTAGTACCAGCTACTTGGAAGGCTGAGGCAAGAGAATCACTTAAGCCCAGGAGCTGGAGGTTGCTGTTGTGAGCTGTGATGCCACAGCACTCTACCAGGGGTGACAAAGTGGGACTATCTCTCCAAAAAAAAGAAAGAAAGAAAGAAATGAAAAGGCTAATGCAGGGAGTGGCTAAAGAGAAAGGAACAGAGCCTCAGTATGCTCAGAGGGACTGATAGAGGAGCACTCAAAGAGCAAGGAAGAGACCCTGCAGGAGTGGCAGGAACCAAGGAAGAAAAGAGGCCTATGAAGGAGGAATATGAGTTTTTAATCCCCTCAGATGTCAGAGAAACTGAGGTTATAGGAAAGGCTTTTGGACTGGCTGGTGCCATGAGATAAAAAAGGTTGAAAATACTGCTATAGATGAAAAACTGAGAAAAATAACATCAGAGTGTTAGGTAATGAGGTATAGGAATTATCTTTTATCCTTCATTGCTTCATTTTTCGGATTTCTACAAATAAATTGATATACTTTCATAATCTGGAGGGTAAAAAATTGTGTCCTGGAAATAAATGTAAATGACTTTTGAATGATGTGTAAATCTAGTGCTTTGATCCACATAAAGGAGATTTGGCAAAACTTAGAAGGTATGCCTGACTGAAGCAAGGAGAGCTAGAGAATATGAAGAATGACCGATTGTGTGTTTAGAGCTCAGAGGAACTGAGTATTTGAAAGCGGCAATCCAGTAGAGAATGGGAGGAGATGGATTGGAGCTGCTAGTAAGAGGAGAGGCAACTAGGAGCACAGTCCCGAGGGATTAGGGAAAGTGACCTGGTTTAGTCTATTCCCTTAGTTATTGATTGAAAAGAGAGACTCTGAAGTTAGGTAAAAGGGTCTGTTGCATGCCAACAACTTAATTCCTTGGCAGCACAGTTGGTTTCCATTTGTACTCCTTTATACCAGTTCTTATTCTACCTGGTTTATAATAATTCTTTGACCTCTTTTAGGTTGAACTTGGTTATTTACAAGCAGTTCCTAACATTTTAAGTTTATTTATAAATTCACAGCAGAGATAAGATGGATTTTTTTCCTATGTTCTTCAAATAATGTACTATAAAATCTCAAAGAACTCAGAGATTAAATGTTTTTCCTCCACCAAGTTTATTATTGAGGATATTTAAATAGTCTGAGGTTTTGTAGTGATTCTCTGACAGGGCCCACCACATTAGCATTCACAACATGTGAATTGTTTTGTTCTTTGATTTTTTTTTATTTATTTTTGTTTTTTGAGGGAGAATCTCACTTTGTCACCCTCTGTAGATTGCTGTATCATTGTAGCTCACAGCAACCTCAGACTCTTGGGCTCAAGCGATTCTCTTGCCTCAGCCTCTCAACTAGGTGGGACTGTAGGTGTCTGCCTTAACACCTGGCTATTTTTAGAGGTGGGGGTCTCGCTCTAGCCCGGGTTGGTCTGGAACTCGAGAGCTCAGACAATCCGATCCACCTACCTCAGTCTCCCAGAGTTCTAGGATTACAGATGTAAGCCACTGTGTCTGGCCTGTTCTGTTCTTGGATAACTTTTCTGAGAATGTCATTATAAATGGGGGCTTTTTCCTGCTCCTAACTTCACACATTTGGATTATCATCTTCTTTGCTGGGATACTTATTTTGAGACTTTCATGGCCTGGAAAACTTCTCTCAAGACAAAAGTAGGGGCTTGGTGCCTGTATCTCAATGGTTAGGGCACTGGCCACGCACACTGGGGCTGGTGGGTTCAAATCTGGCCCAGGCCTGCTAAAACCACAATGACAACAACAACAAAAAATAGCCTGTAGTCCTAGCTACTTTGGTAGGCTGAGGCAAGAGAATCACGTAAGCCCGAGAGTTTGAGGTTGCTGTGAGCTGTGACATGGCACTCTACCAAAGGGCAATATAGTAGACATAGTGAGACTGTTTCAAAAAAAAAAAAAAAAATTTTTTTTTTTAAGTAGATGAATAATAACAATATGTTATATTGTGAAATGTGGTTCTGTGGGTCACGGGTGGGACCTGAATTGCTGTGTTTTTAACAAGCTATAGACTTTTTATTTTTTTGAGACAGAGTCTTAATCTGTCAGCCTGGCTCCTAGGCCAGATTCTATAGTGTCATAGCTCACAGCATCCTCACTGTCCTGGGCTCAAGCTATCCTCTTGCCTCAGCCTCCTATACATAGCTGGCTACTACAGGTGCCTGGCTACTTTTTCTGTTTGGGGGTATTTCGGGTTTTTTGTTTGTTTTTTTGTTTTCCTAGAGAAAGGGTCTCACTCTTGCTTAGGTTAGACAAGCTCCAGACTTATACCAATGCTGCTGGTCTTCAAACTTACACATTGAGTGGTAAAGGTGTAAAGCTGTGCTCTCCAGTATAGTACCCCCTTAGCCTTGCGTTGCTGTTGAGAAATTAGAGGTATGACTGGTATGAATGGAGGTGTGCTATAATTGTAAAATATATACCAGAGTTCAAAGACCTAATGTGAAAAATAATATAAAATATCTCAGGCCAGGTGCAGTGGTTCACACCTGTAATCCTACCACTTTGGGAGACTGAGGCAAGAGGATCTCTTGAGCCCAAGAGCTTGAGGTTGCTGTGAGCTGTGATGCTGTGGCACTCTACCCAGGGTGACACAGAGAGACTCTTATCTTGGAAAAAAAAAATTCTAGCATATTACTCAATGATATTTTTAATTTATTGGTAAATTTTAAAATACTCTACAAATGCCCATTGAAATCCCTGCCCATCTTCTGTGGTAACATTTTGTTTCATTTGTCCCCACTCATAGAAAGAGCAGCTAGTTGAGAGGCCTTTGAATTAAATGTTGTAGAATTTTTCTCTTGGCTGAGACAAGGAAGGTATGGCAGAATGAGCCAGACTGATAACCCAGCAACCTCCGAAGTTTCCCATTAGCCTTATTTTTGTTCTGTGAAGGTGGTAGGATTTGCTGAATCTGTCCAGAAGTGTAGGTTGCTTCAAGTCTGGCTTTTGCCTTCAAAGAGCTTTCATACCCAGAAAAACAGATCATTTTGAGAAAATTTTAAGTACAAATTGTGTGGTTATTTTATTAGCAAACACGATTCAGAGCAAAGCGATGGCCGTGGAACCTCAGAAGGCTTTGTTGTGCTAAGGACCTGAGAGGAGCAGGTAGAACTTAAAAGTGCAGAGCAAAAAGAGGGAGGTGGAAGTGGGAACTGTGTTCATGTGAAAAGACAGCTTGACTGAAGGGGAAAGTGTGCTAGAGAGCCGCAAGACCTAAGTCTAGATAGGTTACCATGAAGTCAGATACTGAGAGGCCTTGAAAACCAGAAGGGTAAATGCATCGTGCTTTTTTATTTTTTATTATTTATTTATTTATTTATTTTGAGACAGTCTCACTTGTCATGTTACCTTTGGTAGAGTGCTGTGGCATAGCTCACAGCAACCTCCCATCTCTTGGGCTCAAGCGATTCTCTTGCCTGAGCCTCCCAAGTAGCTGGGACTACAGGCAGCCGCCACAATGCCTGGCTATTTTTAGAGACAGGATCTCACTCTTGCTCAGGCTAGTCTTGAAATTGTGAATTGAGGGCAATCCATCCGCCTCAGGTAATCCTACCATTCCCAGAGTGCTAAAATTACAGGCATGAGCCACTGCACCCATCCGCATCATGCATTTTTTTATAAAAATAGAAACACGCTTTTTGAGGAAATCAGGCCTTATTCTTTGTGAAGTGAGTGAATCTTACCCTTCCTGCCCAGAAAGCATAAATGGCTTTCCATAGAGAACTACATGAGGTATAGTCTTCATATTTTGTCATTCAGGACGATCCAAACTGTGGCCACAACCAACACATCTTTACCTTATCTTACCACTCTTGCAGTGCCTATGGCTCAAGGAGTAGGGCACCGGTCCCATATACTGGAGGTGGCAGGTTCCAACCCACCCCTGGCCAAAAACTACAAAGACAAAACAAACAACAAACAAAACACACTCTCTTCTGTGCTGTGCAGTAAGCCAGTTCTTACTCTTTCTCATAACTAATTTTAGTGTGCATTTATTCTGCCAAAGACCCAAACAAACCCTTCCCCTGCAAAATATATGCCACTCCTGCAAGACTCCGCCTTTGAATGTCCTGTCCATGTTTCAGGGTTCCATTCAGATAACACATTTATGAACCATTTTACTACCACAACTGATTATCTTCCTCCAAACCTACCTAGTTTTACTTTGAACCACTGTACTACCTATTTTGTCCCTTATGATAGGCAATAGCTTCTAGAATGCAGGAGCAGGCCTTGCGCATCTCTTCTAGTCTTTTACTACCCTTGCAGGTGGTCCTGGCTTAAGGGCTTTCCCTGACTGCTAGTATGGATACAGTGTTAAGATGCCTGGACAGAGAATTGGAGAAAAGTAGCTCTAAATGGAAGTAGCAAAAGGCTTTGTTTATGATTAGTCCAAGAATATAAGAACACTTTAAATTTTATTTTATTTTTTCATTTTTTGGCCAGGGCTGGGTTTGAACCTGCCACCTCCAGCATATGGGGCCAGTGCCCTACCCCTTTGAGCCATAGTCGCCACCCTAAATTTTATTTTTTTTTTTGAGACAGAGTCCTACTCCCTTTCCCTGGGTAGAGTACAGTGGCATTGTAGCACACAGCAATGGGCTTTAACAATCTTCTTGCTCGGCTTGGCACCTGTGGCTCATGCAGCTAAGGTGCCAGCCACATACACCTAAGCTGGCAGGTTTGAATCCAGCCTGGGCCCAGCAAACAACAGTGATGGCTGCAACCAAAAAATAACTGGGCATTGTGGCGGGCGCCTGTAATCCCAGCTACTTGGGAGGCAGAGGCAGGAGAATCACTTGAGCCCAGGAGTTAGAGGTTGCTCTGAGCTATGATGCCACAGCACTCTACCCAGGGTGACATCTTTAGGCTCTGTCTCAAAAAAAAAAATAAAAAATCAATCCTCTTGCTTCAGCCTCTGGAGTAGCTCGGACTACAGGCACCTGCCACAATGCCTGGCTAATTTATTTTTCTATTTTTAGTAGAGATGGGCTCTTGCTCTTACTCAGGCTGTCCTTGAACTCCTGAGCTCAGGGGATCTACTACCGCCTCAGCCTCCCAAAGTGCTAGATTACAGGCTTGAGCCACCCTGCCCAACCTTTAATTTTGAACTGTTAGATTATTGCTTTGAATTAGATGATTTTGGAGACTTATTTTACTATTAGGTATTTAGTTACTCATCAAGATCTAATAGTGGATTTTTTGTTGTTGTTTTGAGGGAGACTCCTTTTGTTGCCCTTGGTAGAATACTTGGCATCATAGCTCACAGCAAACTCAGACTCTTGGGCTCAAGCAATTCTCTTGCCTCAGCCTCCCAAATATCTGGGACTACAGGCTCCTGCCACAACATCCAGCTATTTTTAGACAGGGGATCTGGCTCCAGCTCAGGGTGGTCTCAAACTCGTCGGTTCAAGGAATCCACTTGCCTCAGACTCCCAGAATGCTAGGATTATAGGCTTGAGCCACCATGCCTGGCCAAATTTGAGTGGATTTTTTAAGGCAAGGTCTTGCTGTGTTTCCAGGCTAGAGTGCAGTGGTGCATCATAGGTCACTGTAGCTTGGAAATTCTAGGCTCAAGCAATCCTCCCACCTCACCTACGTGGCTAGAACAGGCATGCCAGCCTGTCCGGTTGATTTTTTTTTTTTTTTCTTCAACCTAGGCAACATAGCGAGACAGGCTCACTGTGTTGTCTCAGTTCGTCTCCAACTCCTGGCAAGTGATCCTCCACCCTTGGCTTCCCAAAGCACTGGTATTATAGGCATGAGCCACTGTTCTCAGCCTCAAAGTATTTATTGAGTGTTTACCAACTTGGGCCCAGGGCTAACGAGTAAAAACTATTTGTTAAACATGGTCCTTGTACTCAGGGAACTCAGAATCTTGTAGGGAGAGAGATGAATTTCAAATTGATTGTATGACACAGAGTCTAGATATAAGATCTGATTCTGACTCCAAAAAGCAGGGTAAAAAAAACATTGAGGGGGATAGGAATTGTTGCTCAATGGGTAAAAAGTTTCAGTTATGTAAGATGAATAAGTCCTAGAGATCTACTATACAATATGGTACACTTAGTTAATAATATGGTATACAGGTAATTTTTTGGTATATCAGTTTTACCTTAAAATATATATATTTTTAATTAAATGATAGCTGTGTACATTAATGCAATCATGGGGTACAGTGTGGTGTTTTCATATACAATTTGAAATATTTTCATCTAACTGGTTAACATAGCCT